AATATGAAGTATTGACTTCATATAATTAAAATGGATAAAAGAAAACAGTGCAATTAAATATTTTCTGCTAACAAACAGAATGGAAGGGACTGATAAGCTGTTATGGGGAAAGGCAATATGCTGACTATGTCAAGGAATCGCTGCTCAGTAATTTGCAAATTATTTGTATTTGGTTTATCTATACATACTGTCATTCCAACTGTCATTAGTCCAAATATACTCAGTTCTAAACTCAGGAAAGCTAACTGGACATTACTTCAGGACTGCAAAAACTTTATATTGTTTTAAAAAAAAAATGCATGTGCCAAGTCTTGTTAAACAATGACAGCATGATATTAGCCAAATCAAATTACAAATCTCTCACTATGATCTTGTACAAATCTCTCACTATTCTCACACAAAATCTCACACAAATGCCTCACTATAATCAGATATATTTGCTAATAATGCATTACTATAGAAATCACTGGAAATCCAATGGAATCCAAATAGATGTGAGCACAAACCAAGAAGTTTTCAACCTCTCTTCTTTTCCAGAATGAAAGCAATAAAAGGTTGAGTTACCTGACCATCACCAAACAGAGTGAATCTATAAACATTTTGCAGTTAGGGAGGAAAGAGCTGAGAAATTCTATTAGAATAAATATCAGGATTAGGGCACAGTTTTGCAGAGGTGTTTCTCCTGTTTCTCACTTCTACTGAAATCAATGAAAGAAAAGTATTAGGTAGGCACTAAGTTTGTAATGCCTTTCAAGGTTAGACTCTTTGTTATTAATAAAGTATCGTTTTGATAATACAGAATTTTTGAAATTTGAGTCTAAAATTTATATCCCTTAAAATATGTGATGGTGTTAAGTTTAATGTAACGCTTGTCATCAAATGTTGTTTCTACAGCACAGCAGTATACTTGGCTTGATGTATTTCAGGATGAAACAATTTCCAGTGAAGCTTCTTCCTTTCTATAAATAATGGGAAGGATGGTGGGATACTCTGGAACAGGCAGACTCTAACTGGAAATAATCATATCTTTATCCAAACTCATTTTGCTTAAGTTTGATTCTTCTGCTCCCTTTTCTTTTTGCCAGGAAAGATTTTGTTTTTTGTAGGTGGCTGTATTAAGATAAACAGTCCTGAGACCTACTTTCAGGAATTCCAGTCCTTGTGCTGCAGGTCTTTATGCTGATTTTTGGGAAACTGACTTGACTTACCATACCATATTTTATTTATTTATTTATTTATTTTTGTGACAAGGATATTTAAGCTTCTTTTGTTTGGCGCATTCAGAAAATGAATGCTCTCTATGTACTTCCAAAAAATTATTTCTCATCATATTTTTTTCCTTTCCCTTTCTGTCATTTCTAAAATGCTATTGTCTTTTCTTCAACTTTTCATACTTTTTGGAGTAGCATTGCTGATTTCTTGGCTGAGCCAGCAGCTGCTCCCATTTATGCCATTTGAGATCTTATATGAAAACATGTCATTTTATATCTTTATTTGAACAAAATTGTTGCTTGAGTATTTTTAGAATACTTCTTGAATGTTTGCAGGCTCTTTTTCAACCAGCTTTAGACTTTTAGAAGTTAACTTTTAGGCAGTTAAATCTAGATAAGTCACCCGAGGGATCCATTTATAGTCAACGGAGAGAAATTGGTACCTTCAAAGGGTGATTCATCTTTTCTATCTTAGGCATCTCTTTTAGGATTAAATTGTTCTCTAGAGGCCTCCATTTCATACCATTGGCTATAAAGACATCTAAAGGTTAGAGTTTGGCAATTAACTTTTCGATATGTATGTGAGGAGCAATGAATTACAAACATTTCATTTTGCAGTTGTACTTAAGTATGATGCTATATGCCACCAAAATATTTCAGGACTAAAATTATGAGCCATGCATGTTCCCCCCCCAAACCCGAATAACTGCAGCCAAGTAATGTAATGCTTTCCCACCACCTGGGAATTCTATAAATGAAGATCATATGGCATGAAAGGATTCTGTTGTCAAGCCTACAAAAAAAAATATTAAAATATTACTGATATTTGATGTTTTTTGTGTGCATTGAATGTCTTTTGAACTCTGTGTGCTATTTACTCTGTCAACTCTGTCACATAACCATGTATTGAATGACAAAGTGAAAAAGGAAGGGAAGGAAACTTCCATCTTTGCTAGAAGAATAATCTGTCAAGATAAAGTTTGAACCCTACTAACTGAAGTTTGTCAGAGGTATTTGCCACTGACTTTAGTAACAGACTTTGGTACCAACCTTGCTTGTAATGTTATCTCAGATCTCTTGATGAAAATCATTAATAATTCCTACAAATAGCTAGTTTTATGGGTTACAAATACAGATACTGTCACCAAAACCTACAATATAAATAACCATTAGGTTATTTTCAATATACTGATTTTTAAAAGCTACTCAACAGAGGACTGAATACAAGCCCCTTTCTTTCAGTTGTGCTTTTTTCCCACATTTGAAGTCATTAAACATCTAAAAACCGAATACATATGCTCTTATATGCTGATACTTGTTTTTTTTAGAAAAAAAAATTTGTTTCTTTTATCTTTGCTTGCTTTCTGAGTAACTTAGTTTCAAAACTAAAGTGTCTTTTGATTTTAGATTTTTTAGATACTATTAGAGAATTTTTTGAAATGACCTTTGATTTATAATTTTATGAATGAACTATATGAAATATCTGTATGTAATAAGAGAAGATTGCCCCAATTTGCCCAGTTTGCCCAGAGACGTGGTGTATGCCTTGTCCCTGGAGACTTTCAAGGTGAGGCTGGATCAGGCCCTGATCAATCTGATCTATCTGTTGTGCCCCTGTTCATTGCAGGGGAGTTGGACTAGACAACCTTTAAAGGCCCTTTCCAACTCTAAGGCTTATAAGATTCTATGATTCTAAGAATAATAATAAAAATGCAGTAATACTGAAGCAATAATTTGTTAATATAATCTTTCATATTCAATTGATTTATTTCCATTAAAATCAAGAATTTAGCCTCACACCATCAAAGGCTTTGGCTTTATATTATATCACAGAGCTGATTCCATGGAGTGCTATTAAAAAAAGGAACTATTAAAAAAAGGAATCAATTCCTCTCTATAGAATCAGAATGCCAAGCATTCCCTGGATAGCTGCTTCTGAGACAGTGAAAGTCATTTGAAATTTTTTTTGGCAAAGTTACAGTAAAATGCCATAAGAGTGTTGACAGATGCAGCTTGGTGTGCCAGCATCTGGCTCTGATTCACAGTGGGATGATATAAACAGGCAGTAACAGATAGCTGTTTTGCCACTGTGGGACAGTGTCAGGATTGTGTGCTGATAACGTCTCTATTAGAAGATCAATGTCATTTCAGAGTTTACTTAAATAGACACATCTACTGGGGTGAGAAGGGAGTCACAGAGAACAACAAGATTGAAATGACACCAGTAGACGTTTTCTCATAGCTTTGTACAACAAAATTGAAATGTAAATCCAGCAATATTTAGACACTAAATGACAGCTAAAACTATTGCAAGAATTTATCATTAATAAATTAGTTAGACATTTTCCAACAATTAATACATAATTTCAGTTTATTACTTCTTTGTTTTCAGACTGTATTCAGAACCCTCCGAGGAGATCACTAGTGTAATAAATACTTCTATCACTGAATCATCTCCATTTATGTCAGCTGCAGAAACAAATGTACTGACAAGTTTCATCATAGGAACCTTTTTTTTCCATAAACAACTATGGATAAGCAACTGCCAGCTCTAAACATCAATCTAAATAAGTCTCCATAAATTTGGGGGTACAGCTCTACCTTCAGATGGAGAAAGTTGTCACATATCTTCCCTGTTTAAAAAGAAAAACTGAACCATTTTCACAGCTTTCGAACTCTTCCTTTAGCATTTCACTAACGTAAATGTCTGTGTTGCTTATTTTGGACTCTAGAGAAGAGGACTACTGAATAGGGTACAACAGAAAACATATATTTCCCTCTGCCAAATAATAGTAATAATAATAATAACAATAGTTATATATGTGGATTGTCTATCCAGTGTTCTCTGGCAAATTTGAAAGAGTGTAACTCTGCCAGTATTTTCTCTTGCTGAATTCTTCTGAACAAGAAGCAAATATCCTCTTATTCTCTTATTGAATATGATTGTTTTTCCTGCATCAATATACAATGAGAGGAACTCCACTTGTAACAAAGTTAACCCCATATATATCTGATGTAATAGTGTGAAAAGTTAAACAGTGCCATTGGCATATCCACAACAGATCCTAGTCTTCAATCAGGTAAGAGTGACACTTAAAAATAGTTCAATGTTTTAAAGAGAGAACAGAAGAGGGCAAGTATTTAACTCCAGAGCTGTAGCTTCCCCACAGAGAATGTAGTTCTTTTTACATTCAAAATTAGTTAATCAATACTCTCAGATCTTGCACAGCATTTTTTTCCCATGATCTTAAAATACTAATGTGCACTTACATCCATATCTCCATAAATCATATTAGATATTAAATAGCAAGTATCACACTGGCACTGTCTTGTACTTCTCTTACCACATTCATGTAATAGAAATAATCCCTGCTCTACAACTGAATACCTTTTGACAATGGAAAAAAGGAGACAAGTATCGTAGACACAGAAGCCATTGAATCTGTCACTTCTTTCAGAAATTAAGCTAACTCTAGGATTCCTTTCAGAATCTGGTCACAACTTACCTGAATTTGTTATCTGTATTTTATATATGTGTATATATATATACAAACATACACACACATATATACATACATATATATATACATATACATACATACATACATACATACATACATATATATGCATATATATATACTCCTTATTAACATATTGCACTTCGAGTGAGACTTGGATTAATTTTTAATGAGAAAGTGGGATGACTTTTCCATTATAAGATACACCCTTGCAGTACACATATGCCAGAAATCTTAATGAAATTCTCCTTTGCAAATGTTATGCCAACAGCACAAGATTAGCAGGACTGTCTACTTTGGCCTCTGGAAATACACAATGAACATATGAGGGTAGACTGATGAAATGAAGTGTTATGGTCACATTCCTTTGCAGTACAGCTGTTTTTGGAGATGGTCATTTGGTGATATAAGCTTCATAAGGTAGCTGAATACTTTAGTGCAAAGATTTTAAATATGCTAAACTGTCAATAATGTGATATATGTGCTTCCTGAATTATTACAATCATTGTCAATGAGTCAACTTTAAAGATCATCCACTAGTGAGGACAAGGTATTGTTCAGTGCAAGTTTTTTAACCAAAACTGGAACACTGTAAAATGAATTCAGTAAAGTAAAGGAAAACTAATCCATCAGGTATCAAAACGGGGCTATAAGAAGGGGACAGAATCTTTAGCAGAGCCTGCTGTGATAGGAGAAAGTAAAGTAGTTTCAAGGTAAAAGAGGAGAGACTGGATATAAAGTTTTTTATGCTAAGGTGATGAGACACTGGAACAGGTTGCCCAGACAGGTAGTAGATACCCCATGCTTGAAGACATTCAAGGTCAGGCTGAATGGGGCTCTGAGCAACCTGATCTAGTGGTAGGTGTCCCTGTTCATTGCAGAAGAGATGGACTAGATGATCTTTAAAGGTCTCATCCAACTGAACTCTAACTCAAATGATTCTATGATTCTAAAACTAACTATAATAAACTTCCAAGTAATTGAAACAAGAACAAAAGCTAAACAGAAATATTTGGTATATCTTCAGGAAACAAGGGTGCTAAATTAGAATCAAATAACCAAAAGATGCTTATCACTTAACTCAGCAGTATGCACCATGCACAACCACATGCTGAGGCAGGCATGCAAAAAAAAAGGTCACAAAAATAATTGCTTCTTTAGATACTTGCAAAGAAAATAAGTTTCTTGGAACAACATAATCTGTCAGAGTAATGCAGAAAATGTCATTTATACTATTATGGATGAAGCATGTGATAAAATTACAGGGAAAACAATGGAGTAGAATATTGTGGAAGGTGAATATTTTCTTCACCAGTGGATCCAGTTAGAGAAGTGTACTCCAAACAAAAGTAGTGTCCAGACACTGTCACTGAAATACCATCTGTGTCAGTGAAAATTTCAAACTCTCAAAAGGCAAGGAAATAGTTATAAAAATAAAATTAGAGGTTTGTGCTAAAATATAATCTTCTCTCCTACCAATAACATGGAAATATGAATATGAACACCAGAAATATCCCTCAGAACAAAGTTCAAGTATACTAAATAAATTATCAAATATCTGTGGATTACTTTATCCATGAAACTGGACAAAAGAAATTCAGTAGCATTTTACATCAGAAAGGGTATCTTGGGCTTCAGAGTCAGTGAAAGAATAGAGGTGACAGTCAGAATGAATATGTCACAACATCTATTTAAAAACAAGTCTCTCCCTGTAGGTCTTAAAGCTTTATAAATGAAACTTAAAATCCTGATAGAAATTCAAATTCATTCATAGGAATTAAAAAAGAATAAAAAGCAATTTGGATAAAGGATTTTGTTAATGCTCAGACAATACTGTCCATACTTGGCTGCATAACACTTATCCACTGATAAATAAGATCAGAAAGTCTGTCCTGTGGTGGAAAAATTGTTTAACAGTACTTCTGGAATGTTGGCACATATGCAGGCTAGATAGAAAATAAAAAATATTCTCAAGCTCTGTACTTTGTCAGATAAAACTAGAAAGTTGATTTTTATCCTATATGTAGTAGAGTTCAAGACTGTGATATATTCTTTTCTCAGACTGGGCCATTTTTGCAGTCAAGATACTAAAATATTGGACTTCTGATCTAGAAAATCCTATCCATGCCAATGGCTAAAACTCCACTGATAGCTATTGTAAAGTTACGAGGACCTCGGATACTCTCTTTTACACTATGTAAAACAGAAATCTTGGAAGATAATTTATATTGATATAATTATTAGGAATTAAAGGCGGATTTGTATGAAACTACTCAATGTTGGGGACAAATACTGATCAGAGAAACAAGAAAGTGATTGTAGATGCTTCATGAAGAAACTTAGCAAGAATTCCTCTTTCTACAGTGTCTTATAGATCCATTGTGTACAGTGGAATAACTGAATGAATATTTCATTCGTTTTTTAGAGCGACATCAACAGTAACAATGTAAAACATTGCGTAAATGAATAAAAAATCAGTCTTACTTTTTAAAAGCAAAGCAAGAGCATTAACTCATCTCCAATATGTTGTTCAAGTGACTACAAAAATATATTAACTGATATATTTTGAAAAGTGTATGTAATTCAGGAAATGCATGCCTGTGGGTGTAGCTTTTAATTATATGATCAATATAAAATGCCAAGTTAAGTATCTACTTTAAAATCGAGTATATATTTATATAAACCTAAAATTATTCTATATTGCCAATAAGTAATATGATTTTTTTTCATTAATTGCTATAATTGAAATAGTCCATATATTGTGTCTAAAGAATATAATGAATGGGAAACAGATCTTAAACTCGGAAATAGAATTTCATGTTTGGTATAAACATTGAATATATTTTACAAAATAGCCACTACATTTATGTGAAGAAGTTTTCCTTTTTTTTTTTTTGTTCTCTTTCACAAATAGCACAGAACTAAGCATACTGGGCCTTTGCTTCTCAGAAATGTGGTCTGAATTTTTCAACACTGTTTCTCACAGAGTGTGAATTGACTAAATCTGGTTATGAAGGCAATACTTTTTTTTAACTTTCACAAATATAAGTCATGCTTTTCCACAACAATCGTTCACAACATTTCACTTTTCATATAACAAATGATTTGTAAATCAAAAAGCATCTGTTTCACAGTGGAGTCACTGCTAGACTTTTGGAGATCTAAAGTTGAGGAGCTACTCTCTTCTTAGAAATCAAATGATATAAGCATCTCTATAATTTGTTTTTGCTTTCTGGGGACTTGAACTGTTTCTCTTTTTGTTTACCTGTAATGGCAACTGAACACCCAATAACAACAGAATATTTATTATTCTATGTTTGCTCTGTGATTTCTCAACACAGCTCTGTCATAGCATAGTGAAGTAGCACACAGCAAATACTGGGAAGAAAGAGTAGCCAGTTGTGTATTTTATCTTCTGAAATTCAACTCACTACAGGCATCCCTGTCTGTCTCCACTTCCCTTCATGGTCATTCCAGTTTTCTTCTGACTGGAAAGATAAAAACTGGAGAGCAATCTTCCCCAAAATGCCCTTCTCACAGCAGGTCTGCTCTGCCTCAGTAGAGTGCCAAATAGCCCAGGAAGCTGCCTGGAGAAACAGCTCTGACACTTGTCAAAGCTGCTTTCAGACATCAAGAGAACTCCAAGAGAAAAAACTTGAAGAGCTCCACAGATCTCTTCACCTTGTATATTATTAATGATACAGCTGCACAAAGCCAGAGATTAGGTGAATCACATCTGGTACAGGATGTTATTTTGTAAATTAAAGCAAAACTGAAGGTCTCAGGAAGGTTTTTTAATATTTCTCACAATCTGAGGCTAGATGATCAGTCCATCTATTCATAACTAACTGTCTTTAAAAAACCCAGAGGTGATATATTTTTCTCTCTTTTAATGCAACCATGACTCTCTCCTTGTCATTCTTCGAGAAAAGGCCAAACCAATATTCTCCCTTTAAAATACCCAGGTTATTCATTTTCTGTCCACAAATAACTGTGTCCTCCCTCTCCCCATTTTGAGAGCATGTATACATCCTTAGGGTATCCTAGCTTTAACTGCACCAGAACGTACCAAGAGAAGAGCAAAGGTACAAAGTAGAGATAAGGAAACACAGACTTTTCAGATGAGTACCAGTGGAGATCTTCTTGTTCAAATAATGACAAAACAAAGCTTGTAATGCTTATGATGTATCTTCGTATTTCATCCCTGATTTTATAAATATCATTGCTTTTCATTTCTAGGATTATGTTGTTCTATCTTATTCTGTTGTGTTGGATGATTTCCATTATGATTTCAGAAGGAAGTGTGACAAATAAAGTCTGGGCAAACTGAATTGATCTAACATGATAAAACAGTACTCAGTCATGGTCAGTTGCTTTAGCTACATATCTGCCTAAGATCTTTGTGTATTAGAACAGATAAGCATGGAGATGTGGAAAGGGGGAAGATAAAGCACAGAGGTGATTGCTCAGCTAAGATATTTGATATACTAAGAGCAACAATAATTCACTTCTAGAAGCATTTTGGGGTTAAGGTTTACTATTTGCAGGGATAAAAAAAGCAATGAGCTATTAACAATAAGTTCCTTTCTCTTGCATTTCAGACACACGCACACAAAAAAGCATGGAATATTTTAGCAATTTCTACAGGCTTCATTTGACTCTACTTTTAACATAACCTTATTTTTAATTCATGCATAGTAGACAGAAAATTAAAAGCTTTAATAAGACAGCCATTAGATCTTATGCTTTATTAAAACTATTCGCACAATTTTTTGCACTTGTGAAATCTTTCAACAACACAAATCACACTTCCAATGCATAAAGAAGCAGAAATTCTCAGGAAAACAGAAGAATATTAGGAGTTCAATGATGTAGGAAAGTACCTGGATAAAAATCCCTGTGCGCAAACATGTCAATCACATAGCGACAGAACGCATATTGATCTAACAGATGAAAGAGGAAAAAAGAGTAATGAAGAAAGCAAATTAAACTGTTGTTTCTACTTAATGATGAAGATATAGTTTGGCAATGTAAAGACTCACTTGGGGGATATTTTTGCATATTCTTACTTATTTTGGTTTTTTTTCCCCCCTGGACTTGACTTCTAGACATTTTCAGAAAGAGTCAATTTATTGTACAGATATAACTGTGAGCCACCCAGTCAAGTACTTAAGAGCTACCTCAGAGTCACTACCTCTTCTTTCTGGCCTGCAATGTGTGGACCAGTTCAGCAATGTACTATCTTGCTCCCCACAGAGGCACAATCCAAACTACTATATGGTCCAAAGAATATTTCATATCCCTGCAAATCCATTTTATATTGTCTCAATAAGACAATAGCAAAATTCAATAAACTTTTATATCACAGTATTTTGTTAATACTGCGTTAACAGTATAATCAATATGTAAGCTTATTGAATGAGAATATAAAAAGAACTCTGTGTACTTACACTTCTGCAGCAATGACATTTTCAACTGAATTTTATCATTTCGCTACATAATTATTTTCCAAAATCTTTACATATATCTTTACATAGACATATATAATGCATATAATAAATTTGGTTATAAATAGTAAAACTTTGCTATTCAGCTTCTTTATCTACATGAAACTCAGAATTCAGAAATGTTGATTGTCTACTGATTTCTTTTATATATAATCAGAGAGGTAGACTTCAATCAAAATTGCTAAGATTAAGAATCTTTATATAACTGAGTGCAAATGAATTACAATATTTTTGCTGAACTCTCCAGTTGGCTGGAAAAATATGTTGTCCCACTTGACTACAAGGGACACTGTCTTCCAGCGTTAATGATGATGATGAAATGCCAGCTTTGGTTAGCTGTGTTAGTTTACAACAGCTTTTGAATAAAGGGGCTGAGCAAATTAATCTGTCTGTCCTATACAGTTACCACATACTTCCAAGGTAAGGTTACATAAGCTACATTCTCCATCTCCAGTTGCATCCCATTCCTGCACACCTGTAAGGCCACTCTTTCTCTTTGCCATCTTCAAAACAGTATTATACGGACTTTGAAATGCTTCAAATGTAAAAAAATAATAATGATAAAAAAGAAAATATAAAATCATAATGTAAAATTTTATTATTTACTTTCTTACAGAGTTCACTAGAGCATCAACAGTAGTTAAACCAATTGTTTCTATAGTCCATTAGAGCCCATGCAGCTGTTTCCTATTACTAAATTGCCAGGACTTCTAGTTAGAATTGAAGGACTTGGGCCAAACTTGCCAGAACATACACAAGTCCATGAGTGCTTTTAAACTTTTAATGATTATCCATAATAGTTTCTGATTTTGAATTTAGGAATTCAAATTTACCATTTTTATCAGCTCCAGTCTTGGATTCCGTCCTTAAGGAATCTGAACATTTTGGCTGCAATATCTGTACTAAGCCTATGTGCTAATTTTCTGTCATGGAGAGGGGGTTGGTTAGAGAGGAAAGTAGTAGCAGGAAAAAGTATTCTCAGTAAGCCCCTCTGAAGTCAGCTTACTGACTTCAACATGCTTGGAAATAGGACCTCAGTGAGTTAGTCAATCAGCTTATGTCTGTATGATAAAAATGACCACAGTTAATTGTTTAGCCCTGAGAGAAAATGGCAGGGCACAGCTCATGCCCAGAAACCTGAATTTTCCTTACCCCCATTTTGCTGGGAGGCTGTCTGTCTTTATCCATGCTGCCAATTTGGAAGAGCCTCTGGATTATTTCCAGGCGTTGTATAAGAGACTGCTAAAAGGCAATGAGACTAAACTGTCAGGGCACATAAGCTGTATGGACTGTCACAGGACAGAGCACAAGCTTGTGCTGAATCTATTTAAGTTATGATACAGGCATAGCCTGGGGGACTTAGCAGTTCACACAGTTCCCTTGATACTAAAATAATATGTTTTTTAATGATAGTAATACAAACAAGGATCAAAATAGACATTTTTTTTTCTGTGATAAATATAAAAGAATTATTTTTCTGAATAAACATAAAATAGTAATAATAGTTTTAACCACACCTGGAAAGAAAGACTTTGTAATAATCTTCTTTTAGTAACTCAACTCCTGAAAAATGGGACTTGTAAAGAAAACTGAAGGCAAAATTCTAAACTGAACAACACAAATAGTATTTCTAGTATATATGAAATAATAAGGTGCACAGTAACATTCTATTAAAGTTCAATTCTGCCAACTGGCAAAGACTGAAACATTGGGAATTTTAAATGAGTACGATTCTCCAAACAACACTTCATGGCTAAAAATTAATTTCAATTTAAACTCTCCTGCTCAAATGAGAATTTCACGATAGTTTTAAACTTGTAAGTCTATCGTGGTGATACAGATTTTCACCTGATGATTGAAAGTTCATCTCAATGTTTGGAGCTAAATTCTTATTAATAAAAACAGTCACGGGTATTCCTTTGTCACTTGACCTCATCAGATTTACCTGGGAAACAGACTATCTTTTCTAATTTTAATTTCATTGAGGACTGATATAACAGTGGGAGCGTCATAACAACTCCTATTTATGTTTACTGCAATTCTTTTTACAGTCTTCAGGAAATGCTGGCTAAACCACTCCCTCGAACAAGGAAAAGTAAGGATTGCAAGATCAGGGAACACTGGTTAAAGCATTTTAAATTAAAAATTATGATCATCATGGGCCACAGTGAGTCTGAAATGTAGATCTGAATTTTCTGAGAGTATCTGGTTGGATAGCGGCAGTTTGCGGGTGAAAGGAACAGAAGTGAAAGAGGCAGCATTCACTGAATGTATGTGACTCTATCTCCAGTAATGAGGACATTTTAAGAGACTCCTTTCTTTCTATGCTCCAGCTGTTCATTTCCACTTCCACCTGCTGTGGTTCAGTGCACAGTCCCTGGGGTCACAATCTAAAGCAGACTTACAAAGTGATATCTTAATCTTTGATGTTAAAACTGATCATTTTCCTAATTTTTATCAGTTAAAAGAAAAAAAAAACAAACAAACCACACCCCTCCTCTATCTATTTCACCTCCATCTATTTCTCTCTTTGATCCCGACTCACTTTAAACACGTTTTCTATCAAGGGAATAAAGTACCTCATCTGCACAACTGTTGCTTTTTGAGAGCTTTAACCTGAACAGTATAAAGTGAATTCCACTGTTTACCAAAACTTTGTCATAGCAAACAAAAACTAAAAGAGGTTTGCACATCCCAATGGCAATTCAACAGTTTGCTGGACTTTTCCATTCATCTGAACGTTATGAATGATGCTGCTTTGATTTTATACCTCAAGGGCTGCAGTATTTCAAGTGAAAACCGGAATTAACTAAAATACATTTATTTGTATAAATTGTATAAAATAATGCTCTCTCAGTATACTACACATGTCAGAAAGGGGCTTTGTCTCAAAAACTCCCCTTTCAGATTTCTAGAAATACATAATTTAAACAACCCCTACGGCGTCCAGAACTTATGAGTATGACGTTCTTGGAGGGTTTGCCCCTTTAGATTCAGACATTCAGATAGGGATAGCTGTGTAGCAATAGCTGTTTTGATGCTCAGCCACAATAATTTATTTGTGGTTATCAGTTGAAATGATCAGATAGGTGTGCTGTGCAATGCAGAGCTAACTGTATTAATGTCAGAATAGTCCTGTGGCTGCTGTGGCAGTTCTTACAGAAAGTCAGCTTCTACTTCATGCATACAAAGTTGAATCTAATTCACTAGAATAGTTAGAGGTTTATCGAGGGACAGAGCATTCATAATGACTTGGGAGTGCAACATCTGAGGCTGACTGAGAAAGAGGAGCATATAACTAACAGCTGCATTTTGTGTTGATGCATGTTGATTCCTTATTTTATAATTTGATTTCTTCCTTTCATCAAGGAAATGGCATTTCTTTCCTTTTTAGGAGAAATTTGGAATGCAATCATATCAAATAACATCAGGCAGGCATATAATTATGTCATACAGTACATGGCAATGTCTCACATACTCTGATGCAATACAAATGATTACACATTCTTTCATTTGCTGCTACTTTTATAATTGTTAATGAGGACATGGAGATAGAGAAAATAAACAGAATTTGCAACAGATTTTTGGGCAGTTGGTATTTTCCAAAGTAAATTTTGTAAAAAAAATAACATTCTACTGAGCAAATCCATGAAGACTCCAGCCTACTGGGGACATTGGTCCTTGGTAAAGGAGGATTCAAACTAAAAATGAATCTTTAGCCATGAAAAAACAGTTATTTGCATTAAACTTATTTTATTCTTGATAGTTTCCATCTAACAACCTGAGATTCAGCTGGAATTTGTTTTGCTCTTTTCTTTTTCATGGGTGGATTTTGGTCCTTGCCAGTTCTAACTTCCTTCTTTCTCCTTTATTTCTACTACTTTTTTAAGATCTTCGTCTGTTTCCTCCTCATACTGTTTACCTTTCTTTTCCGATTTAGTAAGAGGCTGAAGAGCTTTCTCCTCCTTGAATTTCGGTTTGGCCTTTATTAACCCAACTTCTGTTGTTTTAGTCTCTGTCTGCTTGATCTTCTCGGTCGTCTTTGCTTCTCCTTTTCCATCCTTCACTTCCTTTTTAACTTTTGTTTCCACTTTGGTGTGCTTTACTTTCTTCTCCTCTGCAAGTAATCAAGTCAAAATTTCAGTGTCATTCTTTTCCCCAAAAATAATAATAACATTTTATCTTGTGTTGTGTGGTTATTAATGAATATTTTTCATCAACATATTGTTTAGATCTGATGAAAACTATAATTCCTCAAAGCCAAACTTGTTTAGACAGAAATACTATATGTGAACATTTTTTTGTTTTTATGGTTTTTTTTTTTTTTTTTTTTTTTTTTTTTTTTTTTTTTTTTTAAATGGCTATTGTAGCTTTTTTGGATAGGTTTAGGTTTCTGATCAAGAAGTCTTGTGTTTTTGAGTCTTTCTTTGACCACATTCCCACATTTGTTCTGAGACAGGACTATTCATAATGTGCCCAGCAGCAGAGTGAAGGGGTTTCCAAATATCTTACATACCTTACAGTGGTCTTTCAGTATATAAGGAAGGAGAGTGACACTTGGGCAGATAGTGATAGGTCAAAAGTGAATGGTTTTAAACTAACAGAGGAGAGGCTTAGGTTATATGTTAGAAGGAAGTTGTTTATTCATAGAGTCATGTGGAACTGGCACAGCTTGTCCAGAGAAGCTGTAGGTGCACCATTCCTGGAGATGTTCAAGACCAGGTTGGATGGGGCCCTGGGCAGACTGATATAGTGGGTGGCAACCTTGCCCATCACAAGAGATTTGAAACTAGAAACTACCAATCAAACACTCCTTGATTCTTTGGATTTCAGTCATTGAAATTTCAACAGGTTCAAATGGTTTATGCATAAAACTAACCTCTGTTTCCTCTTAAGAAGTTTTAATTCATTCAAATTTTAGTGTAACGTAGATGATTTTTCATATACATTCTATTCTCTACTCCAATTAAATAGAGTTTATAAATTTTGAAGTAAATTCTAGTTAAAAAAAAAATTATAAATAAATAAATACCTTTGGGAGGAGGCTTCTTTTCAGTTCTTTCATGTCTTTCAAGTTTGTGTTTCTGAACTACTAGAAATGAGTACAGTTGTATATTAGGAAAATTTTAAAAACAAGCAAACAAACAAACAAACAAACAAATGAGAAAATTTGAAATTTTAAAATTTGAAAAAATTGTTAAAACACAACAGCTTTCCTGAAAGTTTCACGTTTCTTTACAACTCATGTTTGTTTGTTTGTTTTGTAAAATTCTTCTTTTTTCTCAGGTTCACTAGGTTGAAAAGCTTCAAAATACCTACTGAGAATCACCTAAGCAGAGGACATTGCAATTACACAGAAATGAAGATTTTTACAGAATGTTTGTATTGTATATTCCAAATGTCATAAACTTGTTCTGCACAAGCTCTGAGTAAACATAGGCTTGTTCTGCCTGTGCTCAAGCCAACAGTAATCTGTGTGACTACACTAGTCTCATTATTCTGACAGAAAAAGGGGTTTCTTAACCTGGATTTGCTGTGAACACAGCCACAATGTTGTGCTCACTTCAGAGCTATATCTGAGAGAGTTCATGTCTGCACAAGGAAGTACATGTACACGATGGATGTCCCAGAAAGGCAGTCAAAATGCTATGAAGTGACTTCTATCTTTCCTTTTGTATTTGCTGTCCAGATACATTGCTGGATACAAAATAGGCTTGACAGTTAATTACCCCTCTTGCAAATGATACTACTCTAACTGAATTTCAGCTTGGAATTGCTATCTATATGTCCTACGACTGATATTTTTCTTTATTTCTATTTCTATTTCTATTTTTAAGTTCACTCTTACAAGATCTCTTTGATTATAACTTATATTTGTCATGGTTTTATGACTTCTGGTTATCAGTATTCCTCATCATAACATCATGTAGTGCACTGGGAGTTAAAGAGTCAATGCTCCAGTTCCAGGTACCTGTCCAGAAGAGAAGAACTACATACCCCAGAGGACTTTGCATTCAGAGAGGGGATATAAGCCCTGGTAGATAACCTGACCTGTCCTTTTTTCGGCTCTCTCTCGTCCCTGCTGCTCATCCTGACTGTGTGTCTCACCTGCGCTATGTTGAGGCCTTTCCACCTTTCGGACGCTCTCTCTCACTATATTTGATTAGTTAGTTTCAGTTCTAATTATATTGTATCGTAGTGTGTTATCTTCCATTCCAGTACCATATGTATTAAAGTAGTTTGTTTCTTCTCAGATCGTTGCCACTCTTTTTAATGATTTTCCAGAAGTGTAGATTCATGAACCCCTCCACCCTACTGGTCATGGAACTGGGCTGAACCAGCCTGTAAAACCATTGACAATATTACTGAAATTTTCTGGAATATTTAACAGTGTTTGAAGAGCTCTTTTTTATTGGGCATAGAAAAAAAATCTCACAACAGGGGATGTAGCTGCAAGTCTTTTCTGGAATATTTGTTCCCTGAATTTAGCCTAGATTCGAGCATACTCATTTCCCCATAACTGTTATTTTTCAGTCTTTAAAGTCTTTATGTCATTACAGTTTCTCTCTCTTCATTGCCACCTAAAGTTTTAACATTTGAGTCTCTATTCTCTGGACAGAGTAAAATCACTCCTAATTATTTTGTGTTTCCCATTATCATCAGATTGCCATAAAGATTATCAAATTCCATAAAAGGCTGATACTAAGATACATTGTATTGTATTTTTTTTGTGGTTTGACTGAATAAAATTAAGCAAAGACTAGAATCTAACTTCATTGTAGAAATATCTGGTTCTTTCAAAAAAAAACAAAAAACAAAGAACACAACAAAACAACACTTAAGATAATTAAGAAAGCTTAAGAGCAAAAAAATTCAAATACCAAGCAATAATAAATATTTGTCTTGAAAAATGAGAGCATGGGAAAAGCTGATTGGGGGGGATCTGTGCATCTAAACAAGAGAACTAAACAAGAAATATACACTGTAGACTTCACTTAGAGGATGATTAAGATCTGCTCAAGTAAAAGTGAGAGCTGCCACGGACTGTACTATGGGGACGAAAACAGTTTTAAACATTACATCTCATCTTCACACATTCCCCAAATACACAAGTGATAAAAATCTAAAATTGTACAATATTCAATAATAATTATTGTTACCTTTAGAAGGTGCTTTTTTTTCATGCTTTTCTGGCTTTTCAGATTTCTCTCTGTGGATCACTAAAAATAAGTAAGAGCAATATTAACTGATGTTAAAAAAGAGAAGTTTTGCAAATGAGTGAGAAAAAGAAGAGGATTAAGAACAATCTAGGCACCATGACCAGAAAGACTAAATCAGCTGCAGCTGTCTGCTGATGGTGTCAAAATATACAACCAGAATTGTCAAAGATTCATGTAGTACCTTTGAGGTTTGTCATTGGCTGGGAAAAGAAGGGACTTTCTAGCACAACTGTAATCCAATGACAGAAAGTAGCCAGGGGTTGTGCATATTTTTGTTTATTATTTTTTTGGGTAATGGTATACTTCGGTTCATTCTTATTTTTGAGCTTTCTTGGTTATTACTTTGTTGGATATTTCTTTCTGAAGGACTTTCTGATCTCCACATAATAACTAACAGTTTTTTCAGCCATGAATGATTGAACACTATAATTAATTACATATCTAATTGCAGTGGCATTATAACTAATGCTCTTTGGGGCTTCTTGTTTGCTTTTAATTTCCACTTCACAAATTGAAATAAAGTACACTAAAGTGACAAGTTTTCTGGTTAAAATACACCTGATTGTGCAGTAGTCATTTAGTGGTGCATATTTTGAAATATTTTCCACTGTGGAATCTGACTTTATAATTTTTTGTTAGTTTATGTTTATACAGTAACCTATTCACAGGTGCCCAGAACTGATATCTATACACGTTCTTATTCGCTGACAAACCCTACAAGGACCAGATGTGTGAAAACATTCAGCTAGTTGTTTGACTTTGGCATATGAGTTTACACTGAGAACACAGAAATGTATGTGTGAGCATTGTTATTTATCTTCCAGGCTTGTGACGATGTTTCACATGAAACTTAGAATTCTTGAAGATAAAATAAATACTAGATATCATTTTTTTTGCAAGTAAATGCTTAAAATATCAGTTCTGGTCATTTCAATGACTATGAAATAGGTCTAGTCAGTACTGTAATTAAAATGTTTGTTTATTGCTATTTTCTTGTTTGTGTATTTATTCCCCGCACGGCTTGCTGCATTACATTTGTTTACGTTTTTTCTCTTTTGATGTTAGAGATTTTTCCTGGATTACCATATTTTCTTAGTAACCATATGTACTGTGAATGCTGGAAATACTCAGAGATTACTGAGAAATTATAGTAAACCAGAGTATTAAATATATCATCTCTCTCTAAAAAAAAAAAAAGAAAAAAAAAACAACCAACAATACACACACACAAAAAAAGAAAAAAACAAGACAAAGAAACCAACCTAAGTAAAACAGAAAAAGCAAACAAAAAACATGCATGAGGTATGCAACATTCTTGTCAGTTCATATGTTTGCAAACCCTTACACAGCTTCATGATTTCTACTAAAAGTTCTATCATATTTTTTCCATTTGCAAAGATACGTGTAAAGAAGTGAAGTAGAAAATTATTCCTGGGTTACCACAAAATATGAATCCTAACATTAAATCTGTACCTGTATGCCTCTCCCTTTTTTCAGGTTTTTCTGATCTGTCTTTGTGTGTCACTAGAAAAGAAGAAAAGTTTTCATATAAAACGTTGAACAAGAAACTTAAGAATAAAAAGTAATTATTCCAAGTTAAGTCATTTGAGATGAAATGACAAGTTGTGTTATTAATGTGTTATCCTATGCATATCTGCACAGCACACACCATATACGGTTATTATTAGGCAACAGTAGCTAAGTCACTGCTTCCAAATCATGGTTACATTCCCCAACTGTTTTCTACAGTATGAACAATTTTTGCAACTGTCTGTTCCTGAAGACTGTTTTTCAGAAAGCTGTCAAGGACAAAGACAGAGCTCATAGTAAATGCTGCTCCCTGCACTAGAAGCAGTACATCATATGGACCCCTCCATTTTCTGTCAGGCAAAGTCTCATAAAACTCTGGAATTAATCTTGGAGCATTAGAGTGCCACATGCACAAATGGCACTTCTGTCACATGCCAGCTGGCTTGGGATGGATAACTAGCAGTGGATATGGATAGCTAGTAATAGATATGGTTAGCTAGTAACACTAGCTGAGATCACCTGCTGACAAATGATGATCCCAAAGCCATAATTAGCTGCCCAGTATGTGCAAAGACAAAACCAACTTTTTGACAGTGGAAACTGCATTGTGATATTCAGTCAATCACGTAATATTTCCCACTCACCTTTCTTAGAATTTCAAACAGCAATTTTCAAGACGATGAAAATAATGAAAAATTATTTCAAAATAAGCATGAGGATTTAAGAGCACTTCAGAAAAATCAGCCATGAAACTGCAGGCTGGTTTTAATTATATCTCCTGTGGGGATTTTATCCCACTCAAGTAAAATTCTTTGGCCAAACATGAGCAAATAAGGAAGATCTTTAACAGTAGCCTGAATTTCATATGTGACTGGAAAAAAAAAGAAGAGCAGGGAACACTCGCTCTCATGTTTTTTTAGCAGTACAGCGATGGAATACCTCAGAGTGAGTTTCTGACATACCTGACTGAGTCATTTTTAAGGGCAGCTATTTATCCTCTGTGTCATTAGATAACTTTTCTTTTTCTCTTTAAACTAAGGAGAAATTAATTAGAAATTAGACTAAGATGCTGTTTACTATCTCCATATGCTAATCCTGAAAAGAGAATGTAGGAAAAGTAGAAAAATATGGGGATTCAGTGAAAATTTTGTGTTCCTCCAGGCATTCTAAAAAAAAAAAGAGAGCCTTAGAAAGACACATATCTACAGTCATAATTTTAATATGAAATGTACCAACTAGACCAATCTTCCTTATTACAGCAAATGCAGAATATTTCTATCCACAGTAGCATTATTGGAGTAATTGTAGCACTAGTTCACTAGATAAAACTGAGAAATCATAAAAATTGGGAGAAGCCTTAAAAATCCTTATTCTTCTTCATTTGCTCAGGTTCTACAAACATTTTCCCCTGCCCGTAGAAATATTTTAAAACATTAAATTCTTCTCATTCAAAGGAAATCAAATCATTTCTCTTTTTCTCAAAAAAAAAAAAAAAAAAAAAAAAAAGTCAATGGTACATTCATGTTGTAATATGAGACATGATAGTCTTTGATCTGTCATTTTGCCAAATCTCAGATAAAATGTTCTTTTGTTACAACTATTCCATTTTCTAGTAATAAATATTCACTCTAATAAACACCTGAAGTTATGTGCCTGTCATTAATCTCTAGTTAGACTTTCTAACTCTTGAAATTTGAATTATTTATATAAAATGGAAAAGCTCCAATTGGAGACAACTAGAGAGATCTAGTCAAGCACAAATTTTAGAAAGTACATATTCACTTTTGTTGTGAGAGTTGTCTTCTTTTTCTGAAATAAATTAGCAGTGGCTAGATCTTATTAGTCTTTCCGTATTTTGGATGATTCCTTATGGCCATACACCTATTTGCTCTTCTAAAATGAGTTTTTTCCTCCAGTCTGACACTTCATTAATCAAGGTTTTATGTAAAAGTCATGTTCACAGAAGCCTTGTAGTGTTTTGACAAGTAGGCAGGTTTCGACAAAATACTGGCATTCACTAACAGCAAATCAACAGATTCTCTCTAATGCTCTCCCTTTATTACCTCCAAAATGAGTTTGGGGAAAAAAAATTATTAAAGGAAGTCCTCATGTTATGTTTATGTGATTTAGGCACTACATTTTGCTCAGAATTATGCTTAAAGAAAAATATTTTTCTTGGAGTTATTCAATAAGAATAAAAGGCATCTGTTTATGCTTTGGGCATATTTTACATAAGTAAATAATACAGTAAAAACTTATTAATTTATGAATATAATTTTAGATTTTCTGCAGAGTGCTGAATCCAAAGTGTCTTTAAAATCCTCATTCTCTTTCCACCAGGCTTTTACAGAACCTTCTCCACTCTCAAACACAATTGGGATTTACAGAAAGGCCTAGGGTCAACAAATCTGGCAGTTTTGAGACTGTGATAAAAAGAAAAAAAGATCAAGTGTTAAATACATACCTTTCAGATGTTCCTTCCTTTCATTTCTTTCTTGTTTTTGAGGCTTTTCTCTGTGAATTACTAGAAATATAAAAACAGAAAATTAAATGGTAAATCTGTAATCTCCTGGTATTATGTACACATTTTATTCTGCAAAAGTAATTGAAGAAAATTTTTGTAAAAACAAAAAATGAATTTTATCTCTGAGTAACAGACACTGGATCTTGTATAGATCTTCTCAGTGTCAATATTTTATTCCAGGAGCAAGAGACATGCTTTGTCTTTGAGTAAGTCTTCAGATTTTGGATCACGATTTGGCAACAAATATAATTATTCAGCAACTTTCATATTTGTTTTAATTCCATGACATAAGCACAGTGGCTCTAAGATTTCTGATGGAGGAAATTATTTTCAGCTCTTGACAGAAATGCTTTCTATTATTATCAATAAATGGCTAGCATATTGCTTTCCATGCTCTCTTTTTCTTTATTTTTAGATGTTACTTCAGCCACAAGATGGATTAATAGGAATACATCTCTTTTAATAAAAAAGTAATTTCAGAAGGAACAGCTGCTGAAAACAATCACGTACACGTCCAGCTAGAAGCAGGCAAATTTGTATCCTTATGGACTCTACTGACCATTTAACTTTTGGACCGTGTTTATGGACAGGGTTGTAATACACAACAATTCAGATAAATATATTCCTTGTCAAACTCCACTTTTGAAAGACTAGAGCTTTTGCCAGTTTCAGTTTCAGTTTCAGGGGAATTATTTTCTTTGCAATATTTAAGATTTTGTACTCAAGTAAACCACAGAAAACATAACCCTGGTTGGAAGACAACTGTGAGTTTTATACACAAACATAGTAATATTTTTGCATACACTCGTTTCACCGGTTTGGCAGCAAATGTAATTTAATAGGGGTGCAAACATATTTTTTCTTGGTTAAATATTTCCTCATTAAAATATAGGTTCATGTCTTTAGGAAAAATCATTCCAAACTTCACTAATTTCATTATGTCTTTGCATGTGTTTGCTTTATTGAAATACATTTCCTGTCATAATAGGTAAATAATTGCTGATAACAATTAGCAGTACAGTAGAAACAAACTGCAAGGAAATTTTTCAAAGCCTTTAAGGAATGTGGACAGCTAATTTACACTAAAAACCAGGCTGTGAAGAACATAGCAGCAATATGCTACTACATGAAGGACAGGATGACTCATTCAATTACTTTAGGACATCTAATACCATACCAAAGAAAAACATTTTTTCCTTATATCCAGAAGGCCTTAGGCTGTGAATTTTTGCAGAAATTGTAGCATGCTGTTACATCTTATATCTGTACTAGCAAGTGAAACCACTGTGCAAAATACTTCAAGCCAGCATGAGTATGTTGTCAATTTTGGATGGGACAGGTAAAAAATTTTGAAAAAGCTCTGTGATAGTCAATGGTATTTGGTAGTTAAATGTGAACTTTTGATTCCCTCTCCAAATGCTTTTATATTCAAATTTGCATATAATCCTGGAACCTCGTCATAAACAACACTTCATCACCTACACGTCTTTTCCAGATTTATTTACCTAGATATATACTTTATTTTTTGCAAATGGCTTAACATATACCATTTCTCGAGCCCTCAAAGATTAAATGGAAGAATTATGTTAGGATTAGAAATAAGCCAAGTTGGCCATATGGTGAAGTTTCTGAGAAACAAACTAGAATTAATAAAATATTTTTGTATATATAACAAACATGACAAACTATATAAAATCATTTTTAAATCAGTTAAGTCAGGCACTCTTCAGCTGAAAAATGCTGAACCTAGAGCTGCCCATTCTACTTTAATCAGTATTTTATTTGGTTTATGTCATACTTTGCAATTAAAATATCACATATTTTGTTTTTCTTAATAGGATACTGGATTCACCTGGAAAACAAAAATAAGAATGAAATATGTCTTTGTAATAAATGTCTATGCTGAAATTTTCACACAACTTAAATAAATTTGCTTGGACTTCCTTGCAAATATAAAAAATAAAAACAAACAAATAAAAAAAAACCCAAACACATAAGCTCAGAATGAACTGGTATTAGCACTGAAAAAATACAATGCTCCAACATAGTGCTCACTGACCTAGATTTTGGAAATTGCTGACACATTTTTACATGAGTTTGAATGAAAATTCAGCCTGAGGCGAAAAGCCAAGCAAGAAAAAATTTATCCTCAATGACTGAAGTATGGTAAATTTATAAATAAACTAAAACAGGAGCTTATAATGGAAAATTTTACAGCAATTTAACAATGTATTCTGAGTTTAATCACATAAGAATCTTGCTATTTATTTCACTCAAAATTTAAAACAAGAAGTGTAGCACATATGTGGGTTTTCCAAATTTAAATCATCTAACATTATATTTGATTTAGCACCAAATGGAGAACATAGCAAAGGGAAATTAGATTGTTTTTCTTAATTAGAATGTCTGAGACAGTATTGGATAACATCTCTGACCTCAGAAAAAATAAGTGCAAAAAGAAGAGATGAGGAGGAACTGATTCCACACTTAAGCTAAGTAAAAATAGTTTCCAGCTGAGTAAGTCTTTGTCCACTGCTTAGTATAAGGCTAAAAGTGATGAGTGGAACGAGCACAAAGTAGAGATTGCTTGTTCCAGCTAACTAAGTGCTTGTCCGCAGAGCAGCACTCACAAAAGTTAAGATAAATGGACTCATACAATGAAGTTACAATGCATTAGTCAGAGAGCATTAAATCTCTGTGTAGATGCTTTCATTCAGAAGCCAAGTAACCTTAGATGGCTCTAACATTATCCTTTTTGAAGAAATCCTCAATTTAAAGTTAGGTTTAATTGCAGCACTCAGAGGTTGTTATCATCATCTGAACTGAGGTTCAGTTTTACCAGCTACTGATGCTGATAAAATACCTGCAGTGTGAGTTGTACTCCAGGCTGCTCTCAACCCACATATAGAGAGAGGTATCCCTGCCTATATCAGGGAGATTGGAACTAGATAATCTTAAAGGTCCCTTCCAATCCAAGTCATTCTATGGTTCTGTGAAATGTAAAAAAAATATTTTCAAGACCAGATTGGAGATAGCTTTGAACAACCTTGTCTAGTGAAGTGTTTCCATGCCTAGTGCAGGGAGGTTGGAGCTAGATATTTGTATGGGGCTGCTGAATTACAGCCTGAACCTCTGATTGATCACCTGAGGTGAGCAATGAGTCAGCCATGGGAGCACAGGTGAAGGCAATTCACCTGTGCTGCAGGAAGGGGTGGAGCTTGGTTGCACCTCTCCTAGACCCATTTAAGAACTGACTGCTAGGGGGGAAGGATCTCTTCTGGAGATCTACTCCACTGGAGTTTATTATGTGAGCCCAGGATAGGGTGAGTGTCCTCTATTCCTTACTCTAGTGTTATAATTGTGTCAGATGAACTCCTGGATGTACTATACCATCTGCATATTCACTGATTGGGCCAGGTTATTGAAGGACACTTTCATCCCAAAATATTCTATAATTCTATAAAATATTAGAAACAAAAAAATATTGTCCTGTGTTTTAGTACAGCATATAATTAAAACAGCATTATAAAATTGCAAAAAGAGACTTAACTGATGACACATCAGTGTCTTTCTTTCTGCAATCTAATAACATTTTTGTGATTATCTTTGCCACAGTAACATTCCTCCATGTAAAGCAAAGCATTTCTCTATAGACAGTGCTGTACATAACGGTCTGTTTTGGTCAAGGCTGCAGTTTCATCTGTATTTTTAGAATACAAGTTTTGAAAAGTCCCTAACTAGAATCCTTTGCTAATGGATCTGAGTTAGTTATTACTCAGCTAACCTAGTGGCATCCTAAAAAATTCATTTCCATACTACGTGATTTATTAAGTACTTGGAAAGAGATTCTAGGCACTACACACGACCCTGAAAAGAGCTGAAAAGTTACCACTAGAGTTGTAAAATACTATAAAAACCTATGAAGAAAATATATGTATATAAAGGATATAACTGTGTAAGGGAGAGCGTATGTATATGCACATTACTTTTAATGAGACTCCCGTTGCTTTCTCTTGCCATTACTGAGCACAGCATTGGTACATGAGAGAGATGCTCATCAAATTTTATTTGGCCTATACTTACTGAGGAGGTTTCATTACGCAAAAAATCTGCACGTATCCCAGGAAACATATTTGTTTATCTGACCTCTGAAAACCAGTTGGAGCCAGCTCCTTTATAGATTTTTTGAAAGTGCCGGTTAGAGGACACTCTAAAAAAAGTAGGTTCTTATAGTGGAGATTTTTCTTATCTTTCATACACACCTTGCTCACTCTTAACTATGTCTAACTTGGGTGGCACCCACCAGTCTATAAATATACTTTCTTTCTTGCCCAATGCACTAAAGGTATTTTGCACCAGAGAAAGTTTGTCTACACTCTATCTTCTTGCACTTTTGCTATAAAAACTATCCTGGATAGATTCAGACAAGATAATTTTATTTGAGTTTGCAATATAACCCCACAAATTTAAAATGACACTATTTGTTAATGCCAAGGCATAAATGAAGTTCTCATTATTTACAGTTTGTGCCAATTAATCTCTGGATTATTTTATAATATGATAATTATAACACATGCAGTTGGCAAAGACAGCACATAGTACACACATGTATGTAGGTAAATAGACAAAGAATTACCTTTCGGTGTTGTTCGTTTTTCATATCTCTCTGTTTTCTCTATATGAATTTCTGAAAACAATGCAATGCAGAATTTAATCATGACTATTAAAGTAATTTTAACACAAGAAAATATCAGATGAATTATTTGAATAAAAATAGCGAATTGGTCAAATATTATAACACGGTTATGACTTTATAATCTGCATATTCTTAATTATATGCAATAAAATTCATTTATCAGTGTATATATCATTTTTCATTTATATATGCCTATATATACATTCACATACAAGATATGTAGACAAGAATCACAAGAGTAAATTACTTTAATAATCATTCTGATTTAAATTGATCAGCAGTAGCGCTTTTAAAGTCAAGAACATGTTGTGCTCATCAGCAACAGCTATATAATAACATGTTGGTTATGAATCAGAAAAAAACATGCTTTTATTCAGCATTTTTCTCTGTGTATCTCTAGTTGCTTGCCAGGATTAGTATTTTGTATTTTACAAATTAACTTTCAAAGGTAAAGTTAATTCAAAAGTAATGTTTTCACTGCATGTTCCAGGTTTTTAAAGCTCAGATTCTCAGTCGGTAGCTTCAACTCATGACAAAAGATGGACTCGATGCTGTACATAAATTTACAAACGCATCTAAAAGTTGCTGGGTTAGGGATCAGAGTTTCTGAGAATAACTCATTTTAAGCATGCTGTATACTAAAGCACATTTCATAAATACCTTAGCTAAGATCTGCCTTGTTAGAAGAAAAAGTAGTATAGTATTTATATGTCCTTGCTATGTGACCTTTTATAAATAAAATTTCTCACGTGACATTGATACTGTTCTTACTGCTATATAACTTCGTAGTTATTTTTTCTACAGTCCTTTTTGTGCCAAAACCACAATAATACAGAAAATGAAAAATGTGAAATTTAGGAAAAGCAAACCAGAATTAAATCAAGATTTCATGATGCTGTTTGCTTTCAGTGGTAGAAATTTAAAGGACATTTCTTAGAAGTGCCAAATACATTTGTAATATTAAATAGAGCATCTAGTTTATGGTAATATACATATTTTCCTGCAGTGGAAAACTGGTATAAAATACTGGATCAAACAGATCTTTGACAAAATCACATACAAATCTCACCAGAGTCCATTACTTCCTTTTTTCAAGGGTGAGATTTGATCTTTAGATTCTAAATAGCGTGTGTTCTGGCCTTCAAAGTAAAACAACAGATTAAAAGCTGCACATATTACATCTCAACTCTAAGAAGTTACTCTAATATTTGTTAAAGAGAATAGAAATGTTCTATTTATCCCACTAGTTATTTGCTCCAGTTGTAACAGAACATACGTTGTCAAAGAGATATAGTAGCAAATGGTATTTTCTCTTTTCAATATTGATTTGTGCATTATAAATAAATATAGAATATTTTTATTGAATGGTGTAAGTCATCTAAAATAAAGATTTTGCTTTGTTCACAAGAAACATAACTATGCTACAAAATCAGGCTATGTAGCCATCAGAAAGGATAGTATTTCATGGAGATAAATGATAACAAAGGAAAAAAAATGTATTAGTGTTAGCTGCCTATGTATGGCAGCATAACTAAGCTAATTATATGATGTCAATAAGCCAAAAGGACTTTTGTTCTATTTTTGTGTTGTATTTGCAGTTTGGGTGTGTAGTTCATTTTTTGTTCTACAAACCTCAAATGTGATGATTAGGAAAAAATCATCTTATATTGATTTACAGTACTTCAGCTGAGCTTGGATTATTTTTCTTCACGCAAATATATGAGGATAATTTTTCCATCTACTGAGAGAATCCTATTGCTGGATTTTCAAACATTTCCCTCTTGTTCTGCTTAAAAGGATACTTAAACTTGTTTCTGTAACATGATCATAGAAATAGTGTAAGATAGATTATTTGCAGCTACATGATTCCTCCCTAATTCTGAGCATATCTGAGAAATTCTCCATGCCACTGCTCCAGATTACCTTCCTTACAATGCATTTAAGAAAGTTCAGTTACTTCCTTTGCACAACAATATATATAGGAGTCATACCTCAGCCAGCTCAAAGGTCATTCTACATAAAGATACGATTGTGGCTCACAAAGTGACAAATCACGTTCTACAGAGACTAATATAAAAAACCTAGAATCCTTAGAATTGGAAGGGACCTCTGAAGGCCATCTAGTCCAGCTCCCCTGCAATGTAACAGGGGCATCCAAGCTGAGTGTTACGGTTGACACATTGGAGGGAAGGGAAGCCATTGAGGCTTCCCAGAGGGATCTGGATCTCTGGAGTTGGAGAAGTGGACCCATGAGAATTTAATGAGGTTCAACAAGGCCAAGTGTAAGGTACTGTACTTGGGGTTGGGGCAATCCCAGGTATTGATACAAACTGGGGGAAGATCTTGAGAGTACCCCTGCTGAAATGGACTTGGGCATCCTGGTAGACAAGTAGCTGGACATAAGCCAGGAATGTGCACTTGCAGCCCAGAAAGCCAACTATATTCTGGGCTGCATTAAAAGAGGAGTGGACAGTAGGACTTGATCCTTTGAAGGGTTCATTCACAATCTCTCTCAGCAACCTGTTCCCCTGTCTCACCACCCTCACTATAAAAAAATAAAAAATGTCTTCTTTATCTCCAATCTAAGTCTACCGTCTTTCAGTTCAAAGCCATTTACCCTTGACCTATCCTTACATGACTCAAGATGACTCAACTTCACTGGGTTCCCATTACCTTTAATGTATTTCTCTATCAAAAAACAAAAAAAGAAATCCTTTTCTTGAAAAAAAAATATATATAAATAGGTATTTTTTTAAAAAAGGTTTTAAAACTTTGTGATTTTAGCAATTTTCTTTTTTCTTACTTTTGTCTGCGAAATATATATGAAACAATGATTGTAGAGGTGGCCATCTAAATCAGCTTCATATTTTGTCAGTAATTAATTTTACTGACATAAGCACTGCAGTAATGCATATAAAGTTATACTTGCTAGAGAGCAACAGTGATAATTTCACCTAATTTTCTGCTACAGTTAGGATTCCATATATTGCACAAAACTCTATAGAAATTCCTTGAAGTGATCTTCATAGTGCATAAGTTTGTATGTGTATTTTTATGTATTGCAAAATATGCCATCATTAAGATCTCTTCACAAACTTCCCATTATACTTAGAACTGTCATAAAATACAATAGCCTGAAAAACATCAGTTCTAATGCATAACGATATAAATTTTCCCAGCACAAGTAAATCTAGTTTCAATATATGCTGATCTTGATTAATCTACAAGAAAAGAAGTAGAGACTGTTAGCTAACTCTGAAAGATTTAAAATAAATAAACACATTAGATTATTCTACTGATGTTTTTCTCTGATCAGTTTTATACTGTCTCATCCTTTAAGACAAAAAGCTTTAATTTTCTAGTAATCATATCGTATCTTATTGCTGAGTTGACAAAGTGGCTACAATATTATAGAAGACGTACATGACCAGTTTAAAATATGCAATTTATTTCTATCAATGTGACCCATTGTTAATAAATCCTAAATATTTTTAATTCATTTTTAGAAAAATGACAGAATCAAGTAGCAGCAACGATAATCTTCATCACCACGGCAACCATCCTGATTATGAGATGACAGCACGGTTTATTACATTACTGCAAAGGAGTATGTATTTCAAAGCTGTATTTTATTGTTTTCTTTTTTATTTATCAGACAGATGTGAAAATTGTCTTTCCCTTTTTTTGTTTCTTAGATTTTGAATGGATAAGTACTGTGTTTTTTTAAAATATGGGTATTGATTGGCACTAGTTTCTCTGGACCTTGAGTGCTGTGTGGATATATAGAACATAGATGTTTTTTTTGTTTTAAATAACTTCTAGAAGGGAAACTAGTAGACCTCTTACTGACTAAAGATGCTTAATGGAGATATTTTAGCAGGCCAATATACCCAGAACAGGCTCTCAAAATCTTCTGACAATCTGTATTGCAGGCAGCTTTACTGAAAATCCCTGTTGAAAACGTAATTTTGACATTATCTTCCCCCACCCCTCACCAAGCTAATTTCTACTATCAACAATTTGCAGTGTCTAAAAACAACCTGGCACTGGCTATGTACTGTGAAGCCCCAGATACGGGAAAATCTGGGTTGGAAAAAAGAATGCAGTTCTCTGATGCAGGATGGGCTCGGCAATCTGTGAATTTACTAGAACATGACTGAAGAAGCACCACCCCAGCATGGCTTAGCACAAAGAGATTCTTATGTTTCTGTCAGCACAATTCCCTTCTTCATCGGCCTTTGTCTGCTCTCCTGTTGCTGACTTTGTATTTTGCTAGTTACTTTGTGAGCTTGGTTTGTTGTTGTTATTGTTGTTGTTGCTTTGCTTTGTTTTTCTTGTTTTAAGGTATATGTCACCTGTAAGATGGAAAATGAGCTGGAGGAGCAGTCTAGGAGCAGTCTTAGCAAGGCCAATTTGCTTCTCGCAGCTTTTCTGGTTAACAGGGGCTGAGGCTCGTAGGTGCTGCCATAATACAATACTATAAGAACAGCCTAAAATAAAAGAATAAAACTATAAAATAAAATAATAATGCTATATATTATACTATGTTAAAAAGAGAAAATAACAAAAGTCAAAGTCTCAATTGCAAAAGAGCCAAAGTGAGGAAGAAATGAATTATTTTTCCTACCCGAAAACACAAGACAGATTCACTCAATGTAACTGGGGAAGTCAGCAAAAGCACTGGGAATTTAACTCTGATGTTTGTCAATTAATATTACGTTCTGATGTTTAAGTAATCCTTTTTATACTTAAATGCTGTAGTAAACATGGAAATTAGGTTCAGCAACTTTACTGCTTAAAAGTATAGTTGAACTGATGAAATTTGAAATGGCAATACTCTTTTTTTTCTTTTTTCCTAAGGAAATTTTACCAGTTGGTTTTCTTTTTCATTTTCACTCACAGGAAACACAGAAATATGTACCTCTACTGCTTTGACACTTTTTTTTATTGAAGTATGAAAAGGAGAATGAGTCCTACTGATAGTTCTGATG